TCGTTAGCTAATCATTCAAAATATATTAATTAAATGATTAGATTAGCTGTACTTAGTTATTATTTTAAAATGTTGAGTTATTGATAAAAACTAATTAGCAACCGAAAAAGTTTAAAATAAAATCAGTTTAAAAGTTTTATTCCTAAACTTGTAAACGCCTTCTAATTAAGCTATTATTCATGTAATTATTTGAATTATTGCTTATTCTAATATTTTGTATTGTTAAATTTTTAATCTATGTAAATTAAAATAAAGAATTAATATTTTAATTATTCGATATATTAACTCCATCTATAAAAATAGTTTTAACATTTTTGAAATTGAAAAGAGTCAAATTTTAATTTAAATTTAGCTCAGAGTTAGTAATTTCTAAATCATAAATGAAGATTTAAGGTATGTCAACAAAGTTAAAAAGTTAAGAAGTAGTGATATTTTTGTTGCATACTTATAATTTAGAAATCTTTATTGATTAAAACACAACTTTTTCAACACTTGTTAAGTTGAACTAGATATTATCAATGCATTAATTTTATATGGTTATATTTTACCAAATAACGATTTATACATTTTGGTTTAATGTGATTATAATAGATTTATTATCATTCTCAAATATTAAATTATAATTAAAGATTTGCAAAATAGGTTATTAAAAGTAATTAAATGTTTAATTAGTTATATGAAGGTTGATATTGCTTGGTTAAGGGTAAAATAGGTACTTTGAATTTGTAATTTAATTCGAGAAAATATAATTATTCACACTTATGAATTAATCACTTGTCAATTACAGATAAATTATATTTTACCAATTTTATTAATTACTAGTTGAAGATCCTAATGTTGTGTAAATCATATTTTATTTAGGAGAAATGTTAGATATTTTTCTATTTAATTGGGAAATATCGCTATCACTTATGATATTAGAGCAGTCAAATTACTCATCATTATCATATAAAGATATACTTAAATTATTTTCAAACACTCCAAGCTAATGCAGCCCATAAAGTTTTAAAATATTACTTTCTGGAAAATAAATAGAACCCAAATATCTAGGGTAGTCAAATTATTATTAGAATATTATTCTACTAGAGTAGTTTTATAAGAGAAAAACCTCATATTTTTAAATGAAAAATATTAAAATAATATTATTACTTATTAATTGATAATCTGTAATCTAATCATTTGATAAATTTCTTTTGATATATGTAACCAAAGATATTTCATCTGAAAGAGAGTAAATATTTAACTAAAATGAACAAAAAGTTATTATGTAGTTTTAAATTATTTATATCTGATTTCCTTAATCTTTTGTGAATGCTAGGTATAATTCTAGTTAATTTGTAGAAAAGTTCCAAACGTATGCCTTTTTTTATCCATTAAAAAAATAAATATACCTAGAATAAGTAAAGTCAATAATGAACTCTTTTAAAATAATTTAGGGATCTTCATTTACCAAAGAAATAAGATTTATTTATTAAGTAGGTTTTTTATTTGATAAGTCTATAATTTAGAGCATACCACCACTAGATGCAAAATAAAGTATTTCATTTTATTAAGACTCATCAAAAATAATAGAAATAACTGATGTATTAATTATTTAATTGTTATTTTAAAACATAAAATACTATTAGCTTAAATCTTTAAAATTGTAGAGTAAAACCTAACCATTACTTAATCCTACAAATATTTTATTATAATCTTTACTAAAAATATTCAAAGTAACTATAAGAGAGGGTTATATCTAGGTAAAATGAATTACTTCTCCGCTTGTTATATTACAAAAGATAATTTTTTTATCAAATGTTAGATAAATGTTAAATTCCAAAAATTTAAAAAATTAAATTTATTTTAGAACTTTAATAACTGGTATTTAATTATTTGTTTTTGAGTATTCATAATTTTGATAAAACAAAATTTAATCTTTCTAAGCAATAATTAAAGTATCCTATTTATAATGATACATACAATCTACAATTTAAGAACCATCTATAATATTTTCAAAGTTTATATTAAACTTCTAATATCTGAACATAATATTGTCACTATTGAAAAACAAAAATTCTAAAGTATTATTATTTATTGGAATAGATGTTTGAAAATTATTAGGTTCATTCAGCTGTGATTCATATTCAAATCCTGACAAAGTATAGTCAATTTAGTAGATAGTTTATGTACTAAATATTAATAAATTATTAGTTATATTGTCATACGATAAGCCAACTAAAAATTCATTTCTATCACTTATCTCTGTTATTTTGTAATTACTTTGAATTGAAAATTCTGAATATAAACTATAGATATAAACGTTTCCAAATGTATCTAAATAAAGAATTTCTGCAGAGCTATAATCAAAGAACATATCTACAACATCTCCAAGTAAGTTTGATGGAAATAAACCATTTATTTTTGCTATATTTTACAAAGATTCAGAGTCATAAATATAAATTTAGGCAAAAACTCCCATATTTGTTGTGATTACAATATAATTTAAAAAGTCTATAAATATGTATTTTGTAATAAATAACCCAGATGGTGCTTAGATAAAATTCTACCATAAATTCAATGATTATCTCTCAATGAAATATATATCTTATATTTTAATAAAAGAATTTAATATAAATTAATTTAAAATTTATTACATTGTTAGGATTGGAATATTAAGCGAGTGTCTGTAATACTAAAAGAAACAAATAAAGTATTAAACTTATATTCAAGATTGTAAACTCCATTAAAATTATAAATTTATATTTGCTCATTATATAAAAATATATTCTAGTATTATTCATCCACAGTTATATAGAACAAGCTTGTAAAACCATTAACATATACACTTTAGAAAGTAAATTAGTTAACAAATTTTCTTATAATCACGAATTCGTCAAATGAGACACTGCATATTATTATTTAGGATGTATCTTAACATTAATAGAATTTTTTATTTTAATACTAATCTGGAGCAATTTACAAAACTTTCATCTAATAATTAAGTAGTTGAAAACTGCTACCATAGATATAAAAGTTATTTGAAGAAGAGTCAAATATCCAACCATTTATAGTATTCATTCCTATATAGTAATATTTTTAGGAGGTCTTACCATATAAAGCATAAAGTAGTTAATTTTAATTCCAACAAATAATGCTCTTATTATTTTAAAATAAACTAAATGAAGTAAATGGAGGATCGTTAGATGATTAAGGGGTTAAATATTCTATAAACTTATTAGTAAAAATACTAAAAGATGATATTTAGTATTTTGTTCTGATAAAATACATTCCTAGATGTGCACTTTAAATAATTTCAAGTATTTAATCATTCACTTAGCTGATTGATAGTACTTAAAATGTTGGGATCTCAATATATCTGTCTTTTTATATTTTAGCAGTATAAATCAAACCTGAATTAGTACCAATGTAGCTCATGAAATTTAAAGGAGGTCCAATCATATTATTTTAAGATGCTGATTATTTATCATTATTAAGATATTCATGACCAGTAATATATGTAATATTTTTGTTTATATCAATTTAATAATCTTTAAATAGAGTAAAAAAGCTTAATATAATTGATCTATTAATAGTGTAGAGTACAGTTCCATATCCATTCACAATTTTCTTAGGATAGTCTATAACAGGTAGATAAGGGATAGTAGAAAATTAAATATAACTTGCTAAACTTTTTGAAACCAAGAAAATTCTATACATTCCTTAACTTGGTTAATATCCTGCTAAAAAGTATACAGAAGCATCATTAATTACTCTTTTCACAGAAATAAGTTCATTTATTAAGCTTACTTATATAGTGTAAGTAATTTATAGAGTTGTCGTGCAAGTATTAAAGTTACTTTAAGTATCAAAATATATAATCTCGTCAATAAAATAACTATTTAATATTGTATCTTAATCTGTTTCAAATATTGAAACTGTGCTAAAATGCTGAATAGGATATGTTGTAGATATTGAATATAGTAATTAAGTGTTGTTTTTTTGTAGATCAATTTAGTAAACTGATATTTAATTTTGTTTTTGTAAGTAGATTTTCAAATCATAATTGAGAGCTATATTTAAATTATTACTTGAAAAATCAGTTTAACATTCAAAAAAAAGACTAACAAATTCTGAAGAAATTATTTAAACGCAGTTATTATAGTTTATTGCTAATTTATCTTAATTTGAAGTTATTTGGACAATGCTTACTAAATTAACTAATTAATTTATAATTATTTATTAAGATGGATCAATTAGTAATAAGTTTTAACCAACTAATGCTGCTATTTTGTTATCAGAGAATCTTTATAACTAAGTACATTCTTAGTTATCAAAACTCAATTTTTAAATAAGATTAATATTGCTTTACCTTGATGCATCATAGAAGATTATATCTCCGTTTTGGTGGCAAGAGATTAAAATCTATGGAGAGTAAACATATGTAAGGGAATTTACTTGCGAAGTAGGAGTGGGAAAAGGAAGATTATAGTTTTCAATAATTGTTGTTTCTAAAAATTACTTTTAGATACTACTCTCTCTAATAATTTAAATTGAAGTAGAAGAAAAGAATGCGATTTCGAAATTTGCTATATACTCCTATTACTATGTATTATAAGAAATAGGTATTTTTTTCAGTGATTTGCTTTAAAATTTCAAAGTAATTTTTTAAATTTATTCATAAATATTGTCATCAATATTGTAGAGTTCTAGCGTTGATTAGTTAGAAAGAATAAGAAGCTAATTATTATTCCCTGAAAAGTTCCCAATATCAAAATCTGTGATAACTTATACTTCGCTTAAAATAATATTTTATTCTTTAGAGATAATATTGTAATCAATCAGATTTTGTTAATTTAGAATGACTAAATGTTGACTGTTAGATGTATTATCAAGCTGAATGAATTTTACTTTTTTAATTGAGGTTAATGAAATTAAGGAAGAATAGGTTTATTCGCTAATATCAATTATTGATATTGAGTTCGTAAAAATTAGAAAATATATATTTGAATTCGTTGACGGAATTATTGAAAGCATATTTCTTTTATTTAAAAAAGAAAAGGTCATCAGTTGGGTAAAATTTAAATTAACTTTTTCCTCTTAAAAATTTATTTGATAAACAATTAAATTTGTTTAGTCACCTAGGAATAAATAATTATTTATAACTTGATGGAATTAAAAAGGTTGATTGATTTGAATAGGATTAGAAATAATTTGATTTGAAGAAACAAAATCATAAATTATTTAAATTAAAGTTGATTGCTATTGAATTTCATATACCATCAAGTAGGTGTCTAAAAAAGAAATAAATTCCGTTTGTAAGCTAATTAAGATAATATTATGTTAGTCTATAACATATCTAGACTCATTTTTTATATCCCAAACATTTATTGAAAAGTCTTTTTTCATAACAAATATTTAACTTTTTACACTTAAGATAGTTAAATCATCTTAATCATAGCTAAGATTTTTTATCAAACCTAATGATACTCTGTCATATATTGAGAGGTATCCTTATTAAAAAGTCACATAATAAGATTATTGGTATATAAAAAAATCTGTTGGAATACCAGGATTAAAGAAGTTAGGCTAAGTTGAGTGAATTGAAGAACATTAAACTAATTTTTTACAAGTATTTGTTTATTCATCTGCGTTAAATAGTGGATTGCAAATAGATGAGCAACTTTCAACAGAGCTATCTTCATCCTTTTCATTTATTTAAAGATAAAGACTAGGGGAGCAACCTTAATATATACAAACACCATTGTTAAGTTGATAACCCTATTCACAATAAATACAAATAGGCATTTAACCAGTACTACAAGTTTAGCATCCTTATCCACATTGTTGTGCAGTTAATTATCCAATTAAAATTGCATAAATAATAATTTTAAGTTTTATCATTTTCTAATTTCTTTTTGAAAGTAAATATGTTTAAAATTTATTTTTTATAAAAGAAGTAATGCTAATTTAAATTTCTAATAATAATTAAATAATAAAACAAATAAAATTTAAACAAAAATTATATAAGTTATATGTTCTAGCTGGATTTGATAACTGACACAAATTAGTAAAAATAACAACTTCTAAAAATAAATGGCTCTATCTAATATTAAAACAATTTTTAAATAAGTTATTAGCTTTTGATATCTATTTAAATTATTATCATGAATTTTAAAACGTTTAAGCTTAACATAATTTAAATAATTCATAAGAATTCATTTAAATTATTTTAAAAAAATTAATTTGAATAAAACCAAGAACAAAAAATTATTTAAAAGGTAAAGAGATAAAGGAAGTGGCTTTAGATCCAAAATCAATAAATTTTTTAAATTGTGAATAAGAAATTCAAAATTATAGTCAAAAGTTTCAATAAATTCTAAATTTTAAAACAAATTTATTTTATCATTTTAACATAATAAATCTTAAATCTTGCATTTTTCAAACAATTTTAAAATTATTCTTCAATAAAATGTAAAATGTAAATTCAAATTTATTTATTTCTTGCAATAAGATTTTTTAAGAAAAATAAATTCTTAAATTAAAAGAATTTAATTTCTTTGTTTACTATAAATTTTGTTAATAAATTAAATTAAAATTTTTAGAATTTTGGTGTTAAAGAAACATTTTAGATTTTTTAAATTTTTTTAGATTGAGATTTTTCAGACTTTAGATTTTTAGATTATGTACAAATCGATTAATACTACAAATTTTAATGAATTTAGAAAATGAAATATATTTTTTACAATAGAATTTTAGATTTTAAAATGCAATTAAAAAAAAAATAAATTTAAAATGTATTTATTTGTATTTATTATTTGATAAATGGAGATAATTTGCACGAAAATAATCTTTTAGTGTTTATTTATTTTAGCTATTTTATAAAAAGATTTGCCAATATTTGAATCTGATTAATATGTTTTGATTAGTTAGATATGAAAATGGATATAAAATTATTATTAATAAATATAAAATTAATTTAATTATGATTAAAATCCCACAATCTACATAAATAAAATGCCTATATATAAAAAGATATGCACAAACTAGATATATTCAGTTGTTTAGAATGCTGGATTAATCTTTATGATAAAATTAAATTTTAGAATTAAATATAGAAGATTTAGGTGAAAAGTTATAAATTTCTACTTTTTTAGGATCAGATATCTCTAATTATTCATTTTATTCACTCTCTAATATAAAATCATTCTTAAAATTTTAATTATCTTGATCAGCATTAAAATTATGGGCTAGCAATTTAAAATGACTATTTTATTTCTTTCTATTCGGACTCAAAATTTGATTGTTTTAAAAAAATCTCTTTTAATATTTGTGTATTTATGTTTATAATGATAGCACTATTATTAAATTAATAAAAAAAAATTTTTAATTTGTAAAATATAAATAGAAAAGCATTACTATTTTCATTAGTGTCTGCTCGTTAAGAGTTATTTTATGAAATTAATCTTGATGATTGAATACTCATATTTTAAGAGGCCTTAGACTAAATAATTTTTGATATGTTTTTTCTAATAAGTTTCCAATAGAGATATGTTTAATAAGATGTTTTAGAACTAAATACATAATAATTATAATACCTACTTGTCAAAACTTTCTTTAAAATGCATTGAATAAATCTGCAAAAAATATGGTTATTTTACCTTGCTTTATAGACCATTATTTAGAAACCGCAAATGATAAAAAATATATAGTCAATCAAAACTATAATTATTTCTACAATTTTTTATGCTAAAAATGAT